CTTAAAATGCTACTAAAGGCCAGGCGTGGTGGCTCATGCCTGTAATCCTAGCAATCTGGGAGGCCGAGGCAGGAGAATTGCTCAAGGTCAGGAGTTCAAGACCAGCCTGAACAAGAGTGAGACTGCATCTCTACTAAAAATAGAAAGAAATTAGTTGGACAACTAAAAATATATATAAAAACATTAGCCGGGTATGGTGATGCATGCCTGTAGTCCCAGCTACTCGGGAGGCTGAGGCAAGAAGATTGCTTGAGCCCAGGAGTTTGAGGTTGCTGTAAGCTAGGATGATGCTATGGCACTCTAGCCCAGGCAACAGAGCAAGACTCTGTCTGGGAAAAAAAAAAATGCTACTACTAAAAAAAAAAATCTTTATTAAACAAGGTGGAGGGGCTAGAGAGAATTCGCCCTTCTTCTTCAGGTCTTGTAGCCCCCTGGCCCACCTTACTATATTTAATCTGTGGCTGGCTCCTCTCTGGCAGGACAGTCCCTCTACCTACAACATTTGATGGTGGGAATTTGAGGCTGAGCAAACTCCTTTCAGAACTAGCCTGAAATGTTTCAGGGAGTGTTTTCTGGGATATGAAAGGCCTGCATGTGCTAGCATGTACTAGATCCCAGAGCGCCAGGGGGCAGGACCACATCTGTCTTGTTCTTTCCTGATCACTTGGTGCTGTCACACGACAGGGGGTCACTATTTATTTATGGACTGAATGAATCAGATACTTCCACCCTAATGAGAGAGGAGGGGAATTATGTGAGCAGCTGGGTCTCAGTTCCTGGTCAACCGTAATTGATTGCTGAGTGCCTGCTGCTTGCAGCTCCGTCAGCTAGACCTGAGCTGGACAGTGGGTGGCAAGGAAGCTGAGTACCAGTGGCAGAGCACTCTCTGAAACCCACTGGCACCTAAAAAATACAGCAGCAGCAAGTGATCTTCTGTACGAGAGGAAAGGGTCTATACATATGCAGTGCCAGAAGAAAAAGATGCTGGGAAGGAGGCCATAATGAAGGGAGCAGGTGTGGCTGGGGCTTGGGGAGAGCACAAGGAGAGAGGAGAAGCCAAGACACGAGAGTGAGAAGAGGCCCCGCGTGCTGGGGTGGAGTCCGTGCCACACCTGATGGCAGGTGTGGAAGAAAGGTGGCCGGAGAGAGGACAGACTGGGCATCTGTGTGCCGCTGCCCGCCCTGGGAGGCCCTGGGCCCCCTCCAGCCTCACAGGCCCCACAGCCATGCCATGCAAGAGTCCACCTGCCATACTCCACATCTGCCTCCAAACCTGTCTTTGTCGCTAAGCCCAATTCTACTGATTTTCATGTCTTGGCCAAGACATCAAGCACTGCCACAGAAAGCTCTCTGGCAGCTTGCCATGCCCCCTGGGGGTGGGGGGGTCTGGGTCTAAGGTTACCTGGCTGCCCCCCAACCTGGCAGAATGCCTGACATGCAGTGGGTGATTATTTAAAAAACAGATGAAGAAATGAGTGAGATGTGCACCATCTGGGGGATGGTCATGCTGGAGACTCAGACTTGTGGGGGGAGGGGGGGAATGGGCATTTATTGAAACCTTAAAATCTGTACCCCCATAATATGCCGAAACAACAACAACAACAACAACAAAATAAATAAATAAATAAATAAAACAGATGGAGAGAAATTGGGTGCAGATATTTGCAAAGTGAACAGAAACGATTAGTAAAAGGTCTCTTTTCACACACAGCTCAGATTTGGGCTTAAACACTTTCATTTTGGGGAAGAGGGTCAGGTACCCCTTGGAGTCCTGGGACAATCTGCAAGAGATGGTTAGAAAGGAAAAGGGCAAAGCTCAGATGGGAGAGGAAGGAGCATGCCAGTAACTGCCTTGCTCCCAGGGTGAAAAGCAGCTCCTGCTGCAGGGTGCTACTTCAACTCTTTGCCTGCCCTAGAAACCTACAGGCAGAAATGTTCCCCAGATATAAAGTTTTCCCATTCTCTCTGTCCCGAGGGCTTGTGCTGACAGTTTCCATGATTGAGACATGAGGAAACGAGCTCACCATTAGAAGACAGGGCAACATTAGCCCTAGAAGATACTTCTTTAATTTAGGATAAAAGGAACCAAACAAACTGGCAGAAAGGTCAAAAAGGGTGGCGGGCCCACAAGAGAAACTTCAGGAACCTGTCATCCTTCATATTCTAAAATATTCCAGAAGGCATGTGGAAGGGAGGGGGGCAGCCGGTCTGCAGTCATGTGTACATATGCCTCTTGAGGGAGAGCCTCAATTTCTAGAACTTGGTTGTTTGCAGTTCTGCCTCTTAGATTCTTTGGTGCCTGAAGTCTTTATTCATATGACCCAAATTTCACATGCATCCTCAAACCACAGTAATTACAGCAATAGCTTATCTAATGAAAAAAATAAAGGGGAGATAGGAGTACATTTTCCACATTTCTTATGCTACAAAGAGGCAAAATATCTTCCAGCAGGTGAAGGAAGGGAGAGCACATTTAAAATGGAAAAGAAATGCTTCAAAGATACACAGAGTGTGTGGCAAGGCAGCAGAATACACAGTCGTTTCTGTTTTCTTGGGATCCGTAAAACAGAAAGGTTGCGATTGTCATTTTTACTTTACATATGAAGACATTGATGGGGCATGGTGGTTCACACCTGTAATCCTAGCCCCCCGGGATGTCAAGGTGGGAGGATAGCTTGAGCTCAGAAGTTCGAGACCAGCTTGAGCAAGAGCGAGACCCCCATCTCTACTAAAAATAGAAAAATTAGCCAGGCATGGTGGCATATATCTCTAGTCCCAGCTACTCAGGAGGCTGAGGCAGGAGGATCACTTGAGCCCAAGAGTTTGAGGTTGCAGTGAGCTATGATGACAACACTATACTCTAACAGAGCAAGACTCTGCCTCAAAAAAATAAAATAAAATAAAAGACATGTACAGAAGGTAATTTTAAAAGCATTTTCACAGAACGGGACTTAAATACAGTTTATTATCCTATAATTCTACCTCATATTTTAGTTCCTGACTCAACAAGTGTATAATTGAACCCTTTATTTGTTATGTGAAACAAACTGACTCACATAGCCATGGTTTAGTCCTCTTTATTTTTGTTTTATAAATTTTGAGACTATGTTGTTAGTATATATTGATATTCTTTCTTTTATAATTGAAGATCCTCTTTATTTCTAATAATATTTTATGCTTTCAAGTCTATATTAATATTAATATCCCTATGCCAATATTTTTATTAATATTTTCCTAGTAGATCATTTTCTTATACCTTATATAATTTTGAAGCTTCCTGGGTATTTATGTTCAGGTATTCTCTTCAGAAACAATACATAGCATAATTTTTAAAAGATTGAATCTGAGACTCTGTCTTTTAGCAAATATAATCTATTTTGTGTTTGGTATAGTTCCTGACATTTCTGGACAAATTCCTACATCTTATGTTGTGATTTTTACCATGATTTTTGTTGTTCTAATTTCTTTTGCTTCATCCAGACCCATTTTCCTGAGTTTTTATTTATCTCATTTTCTGTATTTTTTCCCCCTTCAACTGGTTTCGAAGTGATGTTTTCTATCCCTGTACTACTAGTAGTCATTCAAAATGCTAATATGCACACCTGAACTAATGAATCTAAGATAAACAGCATGCCTCCTGCCATCCTCCTTAGAACATCTTGCCATCTTTTGTGTTAACATGAGCTGGTACTTTAGTTCTAGTTTTTAACTTCCTCCCAAATTCACTGTCTTTTGTTTAAATGGTCAATCCTTTGGTCTACAAACATATTTCCCAATTTCTTTGCTCATTATTGACCCCAGCCTATTCTCCTCTTGCTTTTTATTCACTTAATTAATTGAAAAAATACTTGCTAAAAACCTAAACATGCCAGGCATTTGTCTAGGTGCTGGTGACAGAGAAATGAACAAAACAAAGTCCCTGTTCTCATGGAGCTTAAATTATAGTGGGTGCTTATATTATTCTTACTAAATACTTTAGTTCTTATGGTATGTAAGTAGTAAACACTCTCCGTCCTGGTCTATAGTTTGTCCTCACTATTGAATTCAGCTGGGTACAGACTTCCAGTTCAGTCTTACTGTCCCTCCAGACTCCATTCCCTTGTCTTCAGGAATCTATGGTTGCTGATACGAAGTTGGCTTTCTCATAGGTGTCATTTTGTCATTTTTTTCTTTTGTTTTTAAGACTGTCTTTGATGTTTCTCAGTTTTACCATATAATGCCTAAATTTGGATCTGTACTGCATAGACAACTTCTTTTTAAAACAAGTTTTTCATATATATATATATATATATATATATATATATATATGTCAAAGCATGCCACATTATTGTAATCTCTCCCTTCTTCACTCCTCTTTCTTTCAAACACCCCAACAAAACAAAAAGCACATTTCCTAAACCACACTGAGCTGGGAGAAGGAACTGCACTGTGAATTTTACAAGATGTTGTCACACATCGCCTCATCCTTGCTTCCTCTAGGAGCCACCACTGGGCCTGTTTTTCAGAAAGCTACCTTTAGAGAGGTTAAGCAACTTGTCCCAAGTCACACAGCTGTTAGTATTATTGCCAACACTCAAACTCTGCAAATCCCACACTCTGAACACGCTGCACTCCTGTCTCCTGTTTCCTAAGCACACGCATTTAAAAGAACTGGAAACAGGACAGACAATGCTGGTCCATCATTATAGAAAGGGATCATTATTCTCCGACTACAAATTGAAATTTCACAAATTAGTCAACAGCCATTAGTACAACAAATACGACAAAAACATCCAAGATATATTTCTGTTTCAGGAACATCACGTTTTACAAAAGGGCCAGCTGACAAATCATGTTTCTGCCTGGACAATGACAACTTCGCTCTGAAATCTGAGCACTGGACTCATCTGAATCACCTCCAACACATCCAGCTAATACTAACTTATCTCAAAGGTGGTGAAAACTGTAATTCAAAGCCAGCCACAGAGGTATTTGTGCTATAAAATAGTAGAAGCCATTACCTGTGCCACTTCTTCAAAATCCTCATGACGTTTCTGCAAAGCTCTGGCCCGATGCAGAGATTTCCCCACACCTGTGTGCTTGCTCAGGAAAGCTTCTCCGTGGTTCTCAATCCAATCCAGCACCTGCGATGAAATACAAGTACATATGCTGTAAGAACTATGTCCTGCCTTGTGCAATGTTTAGGCGAATTCAAGGAAGACTTATTCTGTTGTCAAATCTCTAAGAAACAGGAAGCAAATGAGAAAAAAAAAATCTGGAAGATACAACTGGATATTAATTTAGCACACTTGATAATTACAAGCTGATAATTATATCAGCTTTCCCATTGAGACTTTAATCAGCTCTTATGTTAAAAGTGTATATTTTTTCATGTATAAACGTCACATGCAATAATGATTAAATTAAATCTCACTTCATTTTACACATGACTGAGCCACTGAACTGACTGGGTTTTCCATAAGATAGTGATTATCAAGCCACAGAGGACCAGTTTAAGTTAACATTTTTATAAGGCTTAAAACTACACAACTCAGGCAATTTAAGTTTAACTACGGAGTTAATTTTTTTCTATCTGTTCTTTAGAAGACTCAAAACACATAAGTAAAATCTAAGAAAACATAACATATGCCTCAGTCCTGATCTTTAAGGACAACTTATTTTTTAAACCAAGATGCTGCAAAAGCTAAGCATTCCATGAATTACTTCCACTACACTAAAGAAATCCACTACACTAAAGAAATCCACTACACTAAAGAAAAGGAGTGAAAGCAAAACAGTGCGATCTGATGTTTTAAAGTTCCATAGTTGGGACTGGGTAGTTCATTGGTTCCTGTCATTGAGAAATCACAAAACACCAACAATATCTAATAAAAATACAGTTGTCCCTTAAATAACACAGGTTTGAATTGTGCAGGTCCCGCTGTATGTCATTTTTTTTTTCAATTAAATACAGTCGGCCTTCCACATTGGTGGGTTCCACATCTGCAACCAGACATGGATGGAAAATACAGTGTCCGCAGGATACATAACCCACGTATATGGAGGGCCAACTTTTCTCATCCTTGGGTTCCACAGGGCCAGCTGCAGGACTTGAGTATGTGCAGATTTTGGTATCCACGGGCAGTCCTGGAACAAACCCCTGCAGATACTGCAGGATGATTTACACTACATCCAATGTCTACTTTGTCTTTCTCTGATGAAGAGGGGATAACCAGCAAAAAACAAAACAACAACAACAAAAAAACACCTAAAATTAATGATACCTCTAGCTAAAAACTAAAAAATGTAAGTGAATTTGTTAATGTGCTGCTGAAGTATTTAAGCCTCACTCATACTTTGCATGTTTGTAACTATGGTATTCTCTTAATCCATTCATGCTGCTACAACAAAATACCTTCTACTGGGTAATTTAAAAACAAAAGAAATGTATTGCTCACAGCTCTGGGGATTGGAATGGAAAGATCAAGGCACTAGCAGATGCAGTGTCTGCTGAGGGCTCATTCCTCACTGGTGGCACCTTCTATGTGCCCTCACAGGGCTGAAGGAGCAAACGAGCTCCTTTGGGCCTCTTTTGTAAGTGCATGAATCATTCCCATTCACAACAGTAGCACCTTCATGACCTCATCATCTCCCCAAAGCCCCACCTCTTAATATCACCACCTTGTGATGGATGTTTCAACATATGAATCTGGGGAAACATATTCATAGCAGGAACCTAAGGCTGCAGATCAAAATGATCTTGGATTAAAGAACAAACAGAGGCACACACAGCAAACTGGAGGGCAATCTGGAAGCAGACCAGCCACAGCGCTCTGGTAATGGCAAAATAAAAGGGACTTAGGTTGTGGTTCCTTGCTACAAAAAGGATCCCTTGCCCTTTATTAACTGTACTATAGAGAGAGGAGCTGTGCTGACAGATATCTCGAAAAAAAGATGCAGCTGGTAAGGGCCAGTGCCTGATTTGTTCTCCATTGCTCCAAATCAGTGAGCTTCAAGCCTGAGGATGGCCTAACGGTCTTTCCTTCATAGGGTCTAGCAAAGTCAGAATTACATGTAAATAAAAAAAGGCTTGCAAACCTTGACAAACCTCTTGTGGTCCTCTGTAAAGACCCTTGTAGAGTTGGCAGAAGCTGAGATTGGAAGTGCAGGAGATGTGGGGTGGGGATGGAGCCAGGCCTGGCAGTGGGTGTGCAGGCAAAGCTACGCATTCCCTCATGGCTATAGTTTATTCCTGAGCCTCTGTTGTCCATACTGTCATTCTGCTGTCCCCTGGGGTTACTCTCAGAGCCATTCTTACTGGAATCACTGTATTCTGTCATCTCAGTCCAATCTGTTGCCTAGCTCTTCTGATTCTCCTTCTGAAAGCTCCCCTGTTCTCACCCCTTCATTTCCAGCCCCTTGCACACAGACATAAAATCTAGCTGCTGCTCTTAAGCAAGTTCCTTATCCTTTCTCAGCTTCCATTTCCTTACCTGCTCAACAGTGACAATCAGGGGGAGTGGTGAGTGTTAGATGGTATCTAGGTTGAGCTATTTATTGTGAGTGCAACAAAAATACAGCACATGTGCCATCCCCACACATAAACCAGAACCCATGCAGGCTTCCATCTCACCTTGAGCGCCTTGATGGCACTGGCTACGCATACTCCATTGCTTTTTTACTAGTGTGCTGAGTACATTATTTTTCTTTCTTGAGATGAGAGAGAGAGAGGGAGGGAGAGAGGGAGGGAAGGAGGGAGGGAGAGGGAGAGAGAGGGGGAGGGAGGAGAGAGGGAGGGGGAGAGGGGGAGGGGGGGAGGGGGAGAGAGAGAGAGAGAGAGAGAGAGAGAGAGAGAGAGAGAGAGAGAGAGAGAGAGAGATAGAGAGAAAGAGAGAGAGAGAGAGAAAGAGAGAGAGACAGACCCCTTTAAGGTAGTGCTATATGTACCATCTGACTTTAAGGCAGACATAAAGCTGCTGAGTTGTTTATAGGACAGTCTCTTAGTATGTATTATAAAACACAAGTCCTGTTCCATTCCTAAGGAAATGATTCAATGAGAACTTCAAGACCTCTCAATCTCTAAAAATGGATACATTTAATGGAATATGTCTCTGGCCATGAGGCCAGTGCCATGCAGAAGACAAGTAGTTTAAGCTTGAAGAGAATACAAAGGTATATAAGTAACACCTACACCACAGTCCACCTGCCTGCAAGATCTACATGATGGGCTAGGGAGACTTTTTTAAAAAGTCAACTGTAAAAAGAAAAAGTAAGCCACCAGTAAACAGCAAACCTCATGATTACTGGCAACTCCATAGAGAATTGAAAAAAAGAGCACAATTTCAAAAAGTAAAAGATAAACATTATTTGGTACAAATAGAAGAAGCAAAACTAGAAGCTAGGAGAAGCAAAACACAGTATTTTAAAAATACTAAAAATTTGTTTTTTAAGCATAAGAAAATATTTCAGGAAGTACAAGTTGGAAATAAAAGCCATTATGAACCAACCACTCAGGGTTACGAAGAGCATTTTTATCAGTGGTTACTTCAGGAATGTAAACACCAGGTAAAAGTATATTGCCAACAAACATGAAAGTAATTCAAAGGAAAATGTATAAATTCCAAGCACTTTATTAAAATAATTCCAGACAGTTATAAAATCCAGTGAATACTCAAAACCAAATACCTCCACAAGGCTTCTGCTTCTTTTACAAGGATGAGTAGACTTCTCAGCTTACCAAGTGATCCTGAATCAATGCACGTATCTAAGTAACATTTTAAAGACATGCCTGTGGAATCTTTCAATTTCAAACATAAAAAGATTAGCAAATCAGGGGCTTTATCTTCCTGGCCCAGCCAGCTTCTTCCCTGACCTCAGTGCTGGCCAGTGGCTGTCATCTATTTGCCCTGTGACCTCAACCCCAGGTACAAGGAGGCTGGCACAGGGCTTGCTGCCTTCCTTCCATATTCAATGGAAAGGGCAAAAGCTGATCTCTTCTCACGGCCCCCCGGCCCCCCGGCCCAACGGCAGAAGAGCAAAGCTGGGAGGGCACGGCCACCTTCCTCTCTGTTTAGATGTGAGGGCTCATTCCTCTGTACATCAGTGTACTCTAGTGGACACAATGACAGCCCCAAGGTTAAGGTCAATCCAAAGTGCATCACCCACACTTAAATCAGCACTTAAACCAAATGTCAGATGTGTAGGAAATTGTACAGATTGTTTAGTTTAATTCTCTGTTTGTAATGAAAAGGAAACCAAGGCCCTAATTACAAGACTGAACATGATGATGGCAAGTATGATGATGATCATTTATACCCTAATAATTACCTTGCCATCTGAGCAACTGCTGTTGAAGTAGGCACCGACCTAAGCTGGGTGTGCACTAACTAAGCCATCTGTCCTCATAGTGAATCACCGGTAGGGATGACCCTTATCCCTCTTACAGATGAAGACACAGGACCCAGGGCCCTCAGCTACATTGCAGAAAAGCCATTCATGGACCGGGTCCCAGGACACCTGGCCCCAAGGCACTTCCTTACCTCTACTCTACTGCCTCTTCTTTGAGTTGGCACAAGTGGCATGCATGTAGGTAGAAAAGGAAAGAGCTCCATTTTTGTTCCAGAGAGGTTCAGGCTGGCTATCAGGTAAATAACCTCTGAGGAAACGACGTTGTCACAATGGACAGCAAAGCTAGGACAGGCAAACCAGCAAACACTTTCCAACCCTCTATTCGATGCCTCAGGGACTGGCCACAGGCATTTTCCCGGCCACTCCCTGCAGCAGAGTTGTGGCCATCCTTTATAGCCTAGCTGTAAAATAGTTTTCTACGGTAAGCCCTTACTAACTAATATTCACTAGGCTTTGTGGATTCATATTTTGAAGTGATTACTATTTCTTTAAGAACTTGTGAATAACCTACTAAATCCTCATCAAAGAAGAGACATCTCACAAAGGCCACCTCACAACAACATGTGCTATGAAGACCAACATAAATGATACTTTTCCTTTAAAATGCAGAAGTGTTTATTTCAAATACTTACTAGAGTAGTTTTCTATCGTCATCACGCATCACATCATTGTCATCAGCATCATTTATGGAGAGACTATTCTGTTCTACACTTGGGAGGGCAACATAAGTCCATAA